TTTTTGGGTCGAGTCTTGGAACTTTGTTGTTACCTATCTTTTTGTGTTTTTCAAGGTTTCTAGGAATATTGATTTGGTCTATGGAGGAGGCAGCATAGGACTTATGGGTTTAGTCTCACAAGCGGTTCATGATGGTGGTCGGCATGTTATTGGGTGAGTATCATCTACTTGCATTCTAATTCTAATCCCTGAGTTTTGGGGTCCCTTTTTATGGTTAATTTAATTTAGTTCTTCACTAAAAACTAACTTTTTGTCTTGTTATTGTCTCCTCCGTAGAGTTATTCCCAAGACGCTCATGCCTCGAGAGGTATGGCTGCTATGGTTAAAAAAGTCTTAAGCCTTTTCTATTAAATTACTAATCTTTTTACTGCAACTTTTTTTTTTACTCCTCTCTTTCATTGTTTAATTTATTATTTACTTTAGTTTCTTCTCAAGGCATATTCTTGGTTGCGTTGCGTGACTTTTCTTTTTAATTTTCTTTTGCTCCTTTTAATTTCTCTGAATTCTTGATCACAAAGATGTTTCTTCTTCTTTTGAACCCTTTTATCTTTTGTTATTATTATTTTTTTTTTCTCTCTTGATTCGTAATCATAACGATGTTTCCTCACGCTTCAAATTAGCTCTACAAGCTATAGCCAAGCTAGAAAAGCTGTTTTTTTTTTTTGAAGTACGTTTGATTTTTTACTTCTGAGGTCCTTGTTTCTGGTAAACCTTATCCATTGGATAGAGCCCTTAGGGGCCAGGTTTTTCCCTACAAGTCAACGTATTTTTGCATTTTTGGAGTCTTTTCCTTGCATGATTCATCCCTTTGTAATTTTCTAACCGGTAGTATGTTTACCTCTGGCTCTGAAGGTACTAAATTTAAGTCAACCATTTCTCCAACCCTCGTTATTGCATCACTGAACTGCACACAACTCAGTGCATTTAAATTATCCATCTCCACCATCCCTTGCTTAATGGGATTTGGTAACCTTTTGCAGTTAACTGGTGAAACTGTCGGGGAAGTGAAGGCAGTTGCAGATATGCACCAAAGGAAAGCTGAAATGGCTAGGCATTCTGATGCTTTTATTGCCTTGCCAGGTTGGTTAAATGCCAGCACTAATCCCTTTTCTTTTGCGCCAGTTTTAAACGTCAAAAACAAGCGACGTTTGCATGACTTTTAAAAAGTTCAAAAACTGTTTCTGCGATTAAGAAGTTACTTTTAAACATGTTTAGTAATTTTCTGAAAATGATTTATTTGGCCAACTATGCTTTTAGAGGAAGTTGGCTTACGTTAATTTCTTTAGGTAGCTCTTCTACGAGAAGCAGGAGCAAAAGCAAAATTACATCAAACGGGCCCTAAAGATTTCTTAAGCTAAATGCTCATAGCTCTCAACTTTCAACATCTCGAACTAAAACTTAGGGCCTTATAGTTCTCAGAAAACCTGTAGTGTAAATGATTCATTTCCTTGAATTCATTCATATCTTCTGATGGTACTGCATCAAACTGCCTCACAATAATTGGGGATAAGGATAAACAGTAATAATTTCACCAAATTGTTTATTCCCAACTTGCAGTTTTACCTACCAAAACATAATGCTCGCTCCTTTCAATGCACAATTTTAATTCACTCCTTTTAATCCACAATTTTAAAGTGTCATTTTGCTGGTATGGTTGCATCTCATACTCACAGTACACTGTAAGAGAAATCATAACCAAAAGCCTTGCAGAGGATCATGCCTATGAGAGAAGTGGACACCAATTTGGGGAAATGGAAAAGGTCTGGGACCAGCTGGTTTCCACATTAGAAACAAAGACATCTGTCTGGCTAGGGTGAGATAGGATGTCATTATTCTTTCAGAAAATTGCACCATTTGTCCCCAACATATTTTTCAAATAACGAGTTGGTAACAGCAAGTCCTTCCCAAAAGCTGGTCATTGATGTTCGTTTCGGTTGCGAAGTAGTCTCTAACGACAGAAACCATATAATTTTCGTTTAATATCACATGAGAGGCACATGTTTACCCTCTTTTAAGGATGCCGCCATAAGGTGCTGGTGATGGGGGTGGCAGGGGGATATGGTTGGGTGAGTTGAGTGTCTGTTTTTGGCTAGTGTAAACTTCTGCTGATATTTGATTAACTACAAAAACAGGGATGTTCTTTCTCGTAATCTTAGCATGGCCCTCCAATAATTGAGAAGTTATCTGTTCCCCCTTTTTTAGTTTTTTTTTAACTCATAAAGTAGAATTATAATGTATCTCAAGTACAATTTATAAGTAATCATGAAAATGCATGCAGGTGGTTATGGAACTCTAGAGGAATTACTTGAAGTGATAACCTGGGCTCAACTTGGTATTCATGATAAGCCGGTAATTCCTGATACGCAACTTTTAAATCTTCCAACTTTGGCATTCATGATAAGCCGGTAATTCCTGATACGCAACTTTTAAATCTTCCAACTCGTCTAAAGAATCTATCCTACAGCAACCTTCATGGCTGAAAAGATACGGCTAAAATATTCAACTTTTGAGCAAAAAAATTGACAAAAAAAGAAGTACCTATTTCGCAGGTAGGCTTGCTGAATGTGGATGGGTACTACAATTCATTATTGTCGTTCATTGACAAAGCTGTAGAGGAAGGCTTCATTAGTCCAAATGCTCGCCACATAATTGTATCTGCACCGACAGCAGAGGAGCTGGTCAAGAAATTGGAGGTAATTTTCTTGAAGAGGAAAACTTTCCCATTATTTGGATAAATGCTCTACATAGCACAACCATCAGCATGTACCTAGGAGTCCAAAGGCTGATCGATTGAACATGCGAAAAATAGAGCAGAACAGAGACGATGTTCCCATTTTAGATTAATGGACAGAAAATTCAGGCTTAATTGTTGAAAACGTTCATGTTTTTCAGGAGTACATTCCTAGCCACGAAAGAGTTGCGTCGAAACTGAACTGGGAGATGGAGCACAGGAGCAGCTTGGCTACCCCCCAAAAGTATGATATATCCATGTTAAAAATGGATTTGCAGCAGTGAAGATATTATTAAATCAAAAGGAAATATGGCATTGGAAGAAATTAACTTCAAAATTATAATTTTTTGCTGTGGGGGAAAACCTTTTGTAAATTTATCTGGGAATGACCTCACTATGTGATAGCTACTTATTTTCTTTCACGCGAAAATTTGTTTCCTCTGTAAGTTGTAACTACTAATTGCAGTATGTAATTCTCCAACTAATGACTTACTGTTTTGTCAGTTACAATATTTTATTGTTATGTGTTAATCATCTCATCTAAAAGGGGATCATAAGAAGCAAAGATTCCAAGTTCCAAGTCTCATTACCACTCATTTACAAAAATTTTACCCTCCTGTAACTTTAGACGAGGTCTTTTGGTAAAATATCTCAATTTCCTTGGTAAAGTAAGAGGTAGGTAATAACTATGGGCACCAGGCAATGTAGGTAGGTATCATCGTAGGCTCATCAAAATTGAGAACCCAGCAGCTTACACAGATCAATAGGCCAAGTGTCCACAATGAAAAGTGACAATTTTTGTTACAGACATGTTCCTCAACTAATTTTCTGATGCTTGTTTGCTGTTGAAGTTTGATCAGCAGACAACATTAATCCAACCAAAGACAGATAACTAAATGGGGGCCATTCTGGAGAAGATTATGGATAGAAAGACAAGGACCAATTGATAATTCTTGGCCAGATTTGAATTAACAATTTTTATGTCCACCTTTCACACGGTACAAGGTCTTGACACCATTGATCCTAATCTATATACACCTAGACTTTTATGACTGGATCAAACTGATCCATTGATTTCGGGACCCATCAAGAAGAAAAGTTTACTCCGGCTCTTGCATCGAGATAAGATACGCAATGTGTGAGCGGAAATGTGATGTGTTGTGCTGCATCAGAAAAGAAGACAGAATGATAGCCAGCCATAATACTGGCTTCAATTTCACCTCATGGTTTTTGAAAGAGGAGTCTAATCAGTTTGGCTTTTGAATCTGAAAAGCATTATGGAATATGCTTTTGAATGATGTTGACACATGGGACGGACAGCCATTCATTGTTACACCTCTTACTTTTTTCTATGATCAAGTGTTTTCTAGTGACGAAGAAAGTAATGAATAACTTTAAGTATACTTGAATTGTAATTCGAAAATATGTGTCTGTGTGTGCGCACGTGTGTGCCACATGCACATATCAGTCCAACGACTAAAATCTGGTGGCGACCTTTGAGTTTCTCTGATATCCCTAAAACAAATATACATGAAGGCGTGAGAATCATGTGCTTGTGAGGATGAAAAGGACTATTTTGCTGATGTTAAAGCCTGAGAAAAGATTCATGGAGAAAAATTCTAGTGACTGATAAACAAGAACGGCCTAAAAATGAAGCAGCTAAATAGAATCAATACATATAAGCTTTACCTTTCTCCGTTTTCATGATGTTGGAATCCATTGACACATGGTTTGCTGTGATGACTTAGCATTGACGTAGAGTGATTTTCTCCTCCAAAATATATTCCAGCTTCTCTGTCTTAACCAGTTTCTGGAACTCGTCTCAATTGAACCTGAGAACTTTTTGCCCTTTTCTCTTTATAAGGTTGATTCTTTAGTAGAAACCGAGTTGAGAATTTATTCAAAAAAATAAGCTTAACAAAACATGCTCTAAATCTTGATAAATTTGAATTATGCTTTCTATTCAATTGATTGCTTGATCTACAGAAGGATTCAAAGTACCACAACCGCAGGAAGTAGAAACTACTACAAGCCATGTTATTCTTAGTCTACACAAAATGCCTCTGAAAATCATATTTACATTCCCTCGTCCAAAATTCCCAGCCGAAGAGATATTTTAAAAAATTTATTTTTCCAAATATTGGCCTGAAATAAATTTAAAAATTCCTTAATATAAGCAAAGATTTTTGTAGATGGGGCATCATAAAAAGTTAAAAATAAACCATACAATTCTTTTAACATGGCCATCAAAATCAAGTCTAAGGCCACGTAATTGAAGCACATATTTAATATATCTCAGGCAGAATATATATTGTTTCCAACTCCAGAAAATAATAAATTGCCATTATGTTCTGCGAGTACAAAATTCACTGATATAGACAGGAAGGCATCTATATCTCCTTCATTGACCTATGAAAGCAAGAAACATCCAGGAAGCAAAAGTCGGCACTCGGCAGTGCATTTTTTTCTTGCTACCGGGATGCCAACGACCAATAATTCAAAAGAAAAGATGGAGAGACGGCAAACCAGCTCAGAAAAGCCATGGCAGTAGCTGACATAAATCTTGTGCAGTGGTTAACATTACATTTATCCAGATCATTGCCAATTAGGACAGTGATACCAGCAGATGCACAGGCAGCAGCAAAAGTTAGAGTCGAAGTAACCTGCACAACAATGGAAAGATCTTTCTAAGCATATTGCCTAGGAAAAAAATGGTGGAAGGGTATACAATGATGATGGCATGAGATTTGCACCTCATCAAATCATGGTCGTTCATATGTAAACTAGCAAATTGAGTGTTTGTATGTTGGAAATAAAGATTATAGCAGTGGTAATATATGCTGCTAAATGGTTGAGAGTGCATTCAAACTGACTGTCAAAGTTCTCAACACAGCATGCCAAAATAGTAAAAAGAAAGGTTGAAAGGTCACATACACATGTGATGCCCCCGATAGAGAGTTTAGAAAATACATCATTGAATTTATGAAATTTAAATTTTAGTCATAGCAAGAACAGTTCAACGTTTCTCGTTCTCATAAAAGATGTGAAAAAAAACAGTGGAATTTATGAAATCTTAGTCATTGCAACAACTTTCTTGACTCAGCTTCTATAGAAGATCATAAAAAGTTGAATCGCTGTTAAAATATTTGTGAAATAGACATGTCTTTGAAGATGCGGATTACCCGATCATCATAATACACACAAAAATGCAATCATCACATGATGCCCTGAATATCTAAAGATTGCAAACTAAGCACGGAGACAGATACATAATTCGGATACGATACGATACGATACGGATATGACAATCCAACTTTTTTGAAAAATACGTGTTATAAAATTCAACATAATTTTATTAATATAAAAAAAATTAATATAGAAGCATGATAATAAAAATAAAATAAAATACTAAAGCACTTTATCTTAATTATTAATTGTCTAAACTTCATTTTCTTCAACATCATCAACATCAATTTCTTCATTATTATTAAAAATAACATTATCCAACTCTGACTCATCTAATGATCGATTAACAATCTCAAGCAATTCAACACCTTTAAGAGTATCAAATGAGTTTCCGACAATGTCCCACATTTTGAATTCTCCTTTTAAATAGAGATCTAATTTTGTTAATAAAAGACACAAATTACTATGAATGTAAACTAATTATCTAGCTCATAGTAAAATTATTTTATTCCTTCTCGTAGAATGTACAAAAGAGTACATATTCCAATTTCTTTCAACGTTAGATGAGGAAGAAAATTGCCTAAGAAGTTTCAAAGCAACGTTTTGCAGTAAAGGTACATGTGAACTATGAAGTATCAGATAGGTATCGAAATTATACAAAAATATAAAATAATTAAAAATTGCGTATTAGATACGTATCGAAAATTAAAAAAATATAGAAATGCATAAAATAATTAAAAAAACAAGTATCCGGTACATATCGGAGAGTATCGAATAGTATTAGAGCTTGGATACGTATCGAATACGGCTACATAACAAGTTTGCAAATATTGGTGTTTCTTAGATTGCAACAATAAAAATTGCATTACCAAAGTATCAAAAATTGCAAGGGAAATTAAATTGAAGAATAGGATCCCACGCATCTGTTCAAGTTTAAAAAATTGTAAAATCAATATTACTAATGGGATATTAAAGTATAAAAAGATCCCAATTTAAATAATCTTAGGGTAGAAACATTATCCATATTTAGCATATGAGTGTCAATTAAACCATAAAGGCTTCTGGAAACTCAACCCACTGACCTCCCTGAATCAACAAGAGTCATATAATTGTTCTCCATGGCATTAATTCCTCGTAGGAAAATAGTCAAGCAAGGTGGCATTTTCACATAGATACTGATCGCATCTTTTCCATAAATACATGGCAGCATCACGCCCTTTCAAAAAGAGCATTGCATCTGAGAATTTCAATTGTCTAGTTAAACAAGTTTTTCTTACCCCATCACCAATGGCGAATAAACTGATAACTCCAACATGTCTAAAACTTCGTCTAACCGAAAGGCAATATATGTCAGCAATTGCAAGCGACAGGCTCCAAACACTTTGCAGACCAACTGCAGCAACAAGATAGCTGATGCACAGAGCAAGAAGTTATAGTCATAGTCACTTCTCTGAAGGTACAAACTTAACATGCCACTTTAAAGATTTAATATACTCAACAACTGGAATATATATATAGACAGCAATTATTATTAACTTCTCCATACTTGCATAATATTTTAAATAAGCTGAACTGCATCTACCCCGATGTGGAATTACCTACTGCTTCTACATTCTACGAGAACTGTATTGCAGAAACAGACGTCCATGATTATTTTATCCTATTCTCCGGCATGTATAGAAAATTTTTATCAGTATGTTGGCCTCCCATATCTGGGACGGAACAGCACAATCAGTTAGCAAATATGAGTATATGACTATTACGACATAGCCCGTGCATGCACGCATGTATTCGACATATGGAGTCAAAAGACACTTGTACTGTAGGAAATCGCAATAAAGTGAAATGTCCATTAGCACTGATTAGATGATATAATTAAATTGACCTCTTCATCAAACCCCTATTTCCAAAAAGACATATTATATATCGTAGCAGTTTGAATTCCACTAATTCGATCATTTCAAGCATACAATTATACAAACAATTGCGATATACGTGAATACAAGTAACTGATTATAAAAGTGGAAGAAGAATGAAGTGAAAAAAACGACGGATAAAACTAACCAAAATGCAGTAACAGAGGGGAAATCCAAGGTGGTGGTCATGACGCAGAGAGAAACGACGGCGAAAACGAACTGACAGAGGCGGAGGAAGAGGCCACCGGTGGTGCCGGGCATGCCCTGGAAGTCCTTCATCCTCACTCTGGGCGCCTCTATCGTCATCGGTGCAGCCTCCACTGGGTGCACAGCAGGCCGGCTCATTTTCTTATTCTGAACCAGTGATCAATGGGTCGGCAGAGGAGCTGAGAGCCGGTGAAAATCTTTTCTTTTTTGTGATGCTGTGCTGTGGGAAGGTAAAGGCTAAAATGGACTTAATTTCACTGATGGTCAGTAAAGTTTACGAAATACTTAATATTGGTCCTTGAAGTATTTTTATGATCTATTTACTCATTGAAGTTACAGTTTGGTCACTCCTTCAGTAATATCCACCCCAAATCTGATATTGGCACGTTATAAACCTTGACATTGGCCAAGAATCATCGAGGACGTATTGAGATATTACAAATCTTTAAATAAAAATGGTTTGTAAGAGAAAATTTCTCACATTCAACAAAAACATATCACATCATTCCCTCTTCAAAGTCAAGTGAGAACCAACCGCTAAGATGTCAAATTCGGAAGTGAAAAGCAAATGTTCTTTGACTAACTCCCTATCTCGAAAAGAGGTTGTGTTCCTTCTCTCTGCCTTTTGTTTGTTGCTTTCACAACGGCTAAGTTTGAATCTTGTTTAAGCGCTTTTTCTCTGCTCTTCTAACGCAATTTATCATGAATAATTTGTGCAAAGCTTGCGAATGGATTGGACATGAAGCTATTTATAAGGAATAGATCACTATAAAGGTCATTAATTTAAGTGAAAAAACATAAGTATTACATCAAATATGGCGGTAATCAGATTAACGAAATGATCATTTGTAATATAATATTTGACTAGTGACTAAATGAGTCACAATAACAATTTAGCATACACTCGAAAGCAAGTTTCTAAAGACATTTGACTTTACAAAATAGTCAATTATTTTTAATAATGTTATTATTCGATTATCTTTTGCTATCTATTTTGAGTAAATATAATCAAGTTCCGAACTATACTATTTTTATCAATTAGGGTCCGTTTGATTGCAAATGTGAAATTGAAGTGAATTGAAAACGAATTTCAGAGAATTGAATTGTATAGAAAATGTTTTCCTGAGAATTGTAAATTATTGTGTTTGATTGGTATAATTTTTCAAGTGAAAAATGTTGAAATAAAAGTGTTTTTTGGTGTTCGTTTAGCTTTGTTTTACATGAGAATTATCAATTAAATGGATAGATTTTACTGGTATTGGGAATGAAATTTGTTCCAATTGTCAACAAAAAAAATCAAAAAAATTATCTATCTTTTGGTGTTCGTTTGATTTTGTTTTACATTAAAATTGTCGATTAAAGGAAAATATTTTTTTACAATTATTCTTAGAATTTGTTTCCATTGCCAAAAAATAAATAAATAAATAAACGAAAAACAAAAATTGCTACAGTAATCCGGCATTTTCCTTAAAAAAAAAAAAAAGGAAAATGTCTGGAAAATAAATTCCATGGAAATTTTTCCCAATCAAATACAAAAAAAAAAATGAAAAGATGGAATTGGTGTGCAATCAAACACTATCTTAGAGGAAATTAAAATTCTATAGGATAACACGAAAAGTATATTATAAGATTTTAATTAAGGTTAGATAAAGAATTCCAAAGTCAAGTTCATACATTGTTTACAATTATGCAATATTGTTAAACGACTTAAAAGCCACTTTAAGAACGAATTCAAAGCGACTTGAGTTTTAAATATTTTTTTAATATAATTCATTAAATACATAGAATTCAGTTTTAAATTTGAGGCATTACAACTTTTTTATTCGCACAAACACACCCTAACACATACAATACAGAGAAACACTAAGGATGCGTTTGATTAGCTTAATTCTTTGTGAAAAATGTTATTTTTTCATTCAATTTTTTTACTTTTTGGTGTTTGATTGACAATTTTCTCCATGAAAAATATTTTTCAAAAGTTAGTTGAGTAATAATATTTTTCTCAAAAACAAGAAAAATATTTTGAGTGATATATATTTAATATTCCAAACAATTTACTCACTCTCTTTCTCTTATTTACCCACCAATAAAAGTGCGCAAGTGCAATATTTTTTAAATTGAAAATTAAATCAATTAAATACATTTAATTAATAGTTTCTATGTTAATAAGTTCTAAGCAATTGGTGTGTTTGATTGCAATTAATAAATTTGCATGAAAAGAAAATAAAGTTATAGTGGATGATTTTTCAATGTTTTGCAATGTTACAATTGTTATCAATTTGGTCCCATAAATGTTCCTAGTTGTTCATACGAAAATTGAAATAGTGGACGATTACTATTGGAAAACAATACATAGCTACTACACTATAGAAATCACATTTCACAATTAATAATCTCCCTAAATACTTTCATAAATCAGGTGGTAATTAAAACTAATAAATATATACATATAAGATAATAGAAATTAAAAAAATAGAATTAAATATATCGTGTGAAAATACATATTTCCTCTCACAATCAAACAATATTTCTCTCTACATACCCGGCTCCGGAAAACTCTCCAAAATCAATGCGACTTCTCCATTAATCCTTGATTTCAAGCCTCGATCAACGAATGAAGTTACAATCCCATCGATACAGTTCTTATACTCATGGTTTTGGACAAGTAGAAGCTGTAATTTTCCTGGCCATTGATTTCCTTATTCAGAAAACAAGAATCAAACCAAAAGATATAGACATTCTTATAATAAAAATGTAGCTTGTTCTCTCCAAGTCCTTCATTTTCTACCATGGTTGTGAATAAATACAAACTCAAGAGTAATATAAAGAGCTTAAATCTTTTTGGCATGGGTGTAGTATTGGTTTGATATCAATTGATTTGGCTCGAGATCTTCTTCAAATTCAAACGCACTTTTGTTATCAGCACTGAAATTATCAATCCCAGTTATTATCAAGGTTCTAAAAAGAGCCATGTTTCTTCCAAATTGTTTGTTTTCGCAAGGGTGTTGTTGATATTCTTATTTCGAACAAAAGGGATGGTTGAATCACTCCCTATTATCATCTACTTTGGTTTCATGTGATTGTCTATAAACAAATCAATTTTTAACTATAAAGGTATGTGACCAAGTCTACACTTGCTCACTACCCGTCAAAATCAACATAGAATTGGTCACAGATGATCATTACAAATAAATTCACACATACAACAAACCAACACCTTAACATATACAGTAACAATCAATAACAATTAACACAAAATTGGTTACAACCAATCACAATTAATACAAACTTGATCATAGAGGATCACCATAAATAAATCTGCATACACGGTAAACTAGCATAACAACACATACAGTCACAATCAATCATGTTATCAGGTATGTCCCAACAACTATGATCCACTCTAAGATTGCCCATTTGTCAAATTTTGACATATGAAACAACACAGTTTCCTTGACCTTCTCTTTACCCCAACTCAAATAGGCTCACAAGAACTCCAACCCACAATATCACCGCTTACGATGTAGTGATTCCTTCTACAGCCACCAAACCAATCCCAATAACTACTCCTAAAGTCAAATCTTTAAGACTAGATTGGAATTGCTTCATACTATTTTAAAAATTCCATCACAAAATTGTGTGGTTTGTGACGAGTGTTATGCTCCGATCTTACACGCCTCGGACTCGCAGCACCACATATTCGTACATGAAAACGACCCTTTCGAAGTATTTCCGAAGTGATATGGCGATTCCTATTACTGACCTGCCGAAGCATCTCACCTCCGAGGTCAAGGTCAAGTGGACCCCGGTTAGAAGATCCGCCGCTAATTTGAGATTTGTACCAAGATCCTTCCTGCACCTAAGGTTTAAATTGATTTGACGTCTCCATGAGGCTAGTTGATGTGATTTATCAACTTTATGTCAATTCAACTCAGAAAAAACAAACTGTCCGTCCACTCTACAAACGCGGCTGATTGACGCCTATGAGCGGACGCTTCATACAGTCAGATGTATACACGCGTCCTACATCCAACAGTTCATACCACCTATAAATACCCAAGGTTTGGCAAAAGGCAAAGGTAATGAAACTCTTACTACATAACACTCCATAGCAAGTTTATATATTTTCTCTTCCCCCTTTATCATTGATTTGCATAGCCCCTGGGTGCTGTTCCGATCACTTAAACCTGATTTAACCATCGGAGTGTATACGGTCGTCACCACCCCCGCTGGTTCCGGTCGTGTGCGCCTGACTATTCGCTGATTGTGCGCAGGGAGGAACACGTGGAGTAGCTTTCAGTTGGCCACATGGAAGGACCAATTTTCGGGGTCAACAGATTGGCGCCGTATGTGGGAAACACTCCCCATTCGAAGTTTTGCATTCTCCATCGGAGAAGTTACCGGAAAACTAGTGACTAACCCTGAAAAGGGGGCATTCTTGAAAAAGAACAAAGCCGAGTTACAATCCAAGTTCTCACTACCCTTGAAAGAAGAGGTAGGATGAGCTACAGCCATAAAGACGACAACCCCATGAGAGAGGCCTCTGAAGAGGAGGTACTCTATAACAATGTTACTCATTAGAGACCACATCACCGGCGTTGCTGAGGTGGAAGAACAGCCATACTCACTGAAGGAATGACTCAAATAGCTACGGGTATGAGAGACATAGCAGCTCAGAATATGGAGATGCACATCAGGGCTATCAAAGGCCCCAAGGATCTTATCCAATGTGGAAAGCCCCTTTATCTCACTCCCGAGGCCACATGAGCCAGCACACGGAACGCCCTCTCGAAAGGAAGATGAATGCTGAAACAACATTTTATGTGTGAGGGAGTCAACCATCAGAACCACGCTTGGGGGATGATTTCCCTGAAGAATACGAGGACCAAAGGTCGGTAAGCATCTTCGACCGGATAGAGAAGGATCCTAACAATAGGGTCCGCCCAACAAGAGGATCAGTTCGTCCGATCACGAACAAGAACATGCTCCCCTTCCTCCTCCTAGAAACAGGAGAGAGAGGAGGAACCTAGTCGATTGGAAAAGTCGAGGAGAAGCACTCTACCTCCCCAGGACATCCAAGATGATGAAGGGTCAGATGGGCCCTGTCGATCTTATGAGATTGACGATGATGATGATAACCTCCCTTTCTTAAGGGAGATCCGAAGCTTCCCAATGCCAGCGAATTTCATGCCCCCT